ATATCATCAATTTGGGCTGTGTGTTCAGAAAATTAGTGATTTGGGCTGCGTGTTCAACTCTCAATCAGCGTGGGCTGCGTGTTCACAATCAATTTGGATTGTGTGTTCAAAAAATCAATTTGGGCTGTGTGTTCAGAAAATCAGTGTTTGGGACGCGTGTTCAAATCTCAATCAGTGTGGGTTGCGTGTTCACAATCAATTTGGGCTGTGTGTTCAAAACAAAAAATCAATTTGGGCTGTGTGTTCAGAAAATTAGTGATTTGGGCTGCGTGCTCAAATCTCAATCAGCGTGGGCTGCGTGTTCACAATCAATCTGGGCTGTGTGTTCAGAAAATCAATTTCGGCTGTGTGTTCAGAAATCAGTATTTGGGCCGCGTGTTTAAAACTCAATCAGTGTGGGCTGCGTGTTCACAATCAATTTGGGTTGTGTGTTCAAAACAAAAAATCAGTGTTTTGGGCTGTGTGTTCAGAAAATTAGTGATTTGGGCTGCGTGTTCAAATCTCAATTAGTGTGGGCTGCGTGTTCACCTTCAATTTGGGCTGTGTGTTCAGAAAATCAGTGTTTTGGACTGTGTGTTCAGAAAATTGGTGTTTAGGCTGCGTGTTCAAATCCCAATCAATAAGTGGGCTGCGTGTTCACAATCAATTTGGGCTGTGTGTTCAGAAAATCAATGTTTTGGGCTGCGTGTTCAACTCTCATTCGGTGTGTGCTGCGTGTTCACCATCAATTTGGGCTGTGTGTTCAGAAAATTAGTGTTTGGGCTGCGTGTTCAAATCTCAATCAATGTGTGCTGCGTGTTCACCATCAATTTGGGCTGTGTGTTCAGAAAATCAGTGTGTTGGGCTGCGTGTTCAACCCTCAACCGATGTGTGCCGTGTGTTCAGAATCAATTTATGGGCTGAGTGCTCAGGAATTCAAGTGATAAGACCGTGTGTTCAGAGTGCAAACAGAATGCATGAAAAATTCATAATACTTTACAGAAAAGCTAAGAACGAATTAAATACCTCTCGTGCCTCGTAGGAGAGATGATACTCTGGCTCCCGCAGAAGGAGATCCCCGGGTGCTTGCTCGTCAAAGTCAGTGAAATGGTAGAAAACAGCCCGCGGGAGAACGTGTACTGGTGGGTCGTACCTCTCAGGGATAAAGGGGCGAACCCTCGGAGGCAAGGACATGATGTCAGGCTCGCCTCCGGCACTTGGAGAACCTCCGCCGTGGGGAAATTGACCCACCATTTCAAGAAATCTGCAAAAGGGGCAAAAATGAGCCAAAATTGGAAAAAGTCAACAAAAGTCAACTCTCGGGAAATGAAAAAGTCAACAAAAGTCAACTCCCGAGAAAATCTTCCAAATATTGAGACAAACTCACCTCAAGTGGCAAAAATGAGAAAAGAAGCCCCGAAACCAAAATTTAATCGGTTCAAAGTGCTTGAAATTGAAAGATTTTGCGAAAACAACTTGCGTGGGACGTTGGAAAACGCGTATAGAGCCCAGATCTGAGGGAGAAAATGGTTTGGGAAGCTAGAGAGGAGGATTTCGGAGCTGCACTTATGAGCTCAAAGTGTTTGGATAAGTGTATTTATAGAAAAGAGACTAAAAGGACAAAATTGCCCTCGGATTTGGCAAAGTGGTTGGCCGGCCACTTTTTCTGGCAAGCCGGCCATTCACTTTTCAAGAAATAGCCGGTGGCCTCCCTCTCCCAATAAAACTGGCCGGTGGTGTTCCCCACATGCCCTCCAAGGTCCCTGCAAATTTTGAGGAGGATTGGAGTCCCCGAGACCTGAAAAAGTACAAGAGAAGTGCACTTTCTGTCGTGAAATCGCTCCGCCGGAACTTCAGCTTCAACTTCCAATGCATGTCTCATCGTTTACTCATCGAAAATGAGGTATATCCTTCTGAACATGTTGTAACCTCTCCGGGAGGTGGACCAGAGGTTGCGATCGAGTCGCCCTCGCCGAAACGAGCGTTTCTTCCCGCATTGCGACGCACTTTTCTATCAACACCGTGATTGTCTGCATTCGATATCACATTGAACGTATGCTGTTAGATATGTTGTGCTTGTTGAGTTTCTTTGTTTTGCAGGCACGATATTATATGTACGGTTCATTTGAGGCTGGTGCGACCAGACGAATCGCGCAGGTATCGTATCTTCTCTGTGTAAGACGCGACGAGAATTGAATAATTCTCTGCATTCCTAACTGCATGAAATGTAGTCGTTGCTTTGCATTCTTGCTTAAAACTGTTGCATCTATTTGTAAATACTTGCTTCATTACAGCTTGCTGCATTTACACGATCATTGAGTTACCTTCGGCTTCTTGCATTGTCAGTTGCATTTTGCCCCTGTCTGCGGGCATGCCTGCGGGCGCATCTCTGTTTATTTTGCCTGTTTGTCTAAGTCTTCCGCCTTGTCAAAAATGGGTCGTCTCTAGGCTTTGACATTCACTCCCGTCACTTATGACTTTCGAGTTCTGTCAAAAAGGGGCAACTGTAGACACCCCATTTTTTACCGACCTTGAGACTCAAACGTCACCAGTTGAGCGCTTGGTGATGTTGCATATCGTGCTCATTCAGAGGTTTCGGAGTCTTGGCCGCGAGCCTTGCCTCCGGGTTTCCGGACTCTTTTGTGCTTTGCCTCGGTTTGCGAACCAGGCTCTGTTGTCTCTATTTTCTCTTCGCGAAGGGAGGGAGAGGTCTCGTAGATCATCTCTCAGTGGCCGTAGGCTACGTTTCGTGGTCGAAGGCCATTTTGCCCATTTGGAGCCCGGTTTTCGGTTTTTCGGAGCCGTTGGCCGTGTGCCTCGGTTCGGGACCACCTAACCACCTCCGTTTGCCCCGGTTTTTGGCATACATCTTATTTGTTCCCTTTTGAGGGACACTGTGGTTCGAGAAACAGACTTTGTGGTCAAGCACCATTTCCGGTGCCTAACAGTCAGTTTTCGGGGCCTCGGGCTGCGCGTTTCGGCCCCCGAACCTTCATTTTGCATCGGCTTTGGTTCGTTTTTGGCAGGGACCTCTGTTTCATTGCT